GAGAGAGAGAGAGAGAGAGAGAGAGAGAGAGAGAGAGAGAGAGAGATGTTTACATGCAACAATGATATTAAAGAAGAGGTCATGATTTGAGAAGGAGCGAGCAGATCAAAGGAGGAGGGATGAGAAGGGAGGGAGGTTTGGTAACATAATACTCTGTGTATAAAATTCTCCAACAAAAATTAAATTAAAAATCCCAATTTTAATTCTGAATCAGCCATCAGTCCACAGGGCATGTCATAATCCATACAAACTTACCTCACAAAAGAAATAGGAATGAATTATATCTATTGATTGCTTTGTGACCGGGAAACAGAATTCTCCGAAGCTCAGTTTTATCAGGGGCCATCAGGATAGTTACAACAAATCATCAAAACACTTCCCATCCAAGAACCCAGCACGCAGACGCCACTCAGAAAGTGTTAGCTCCTTCGCCTTTGCTTAACAAAATTGATTTTTATCTAAACATCTCTCCCAAGAGACCACCCCCTCGGGCTCTGCGCTCTGACAGGCTAGAGATGGCTTCTTCAGGACATGATTTCTCATCAAGGTTTAACTTTTTAGATAATAGATCCGCATAGTTAAAAATGAAGCAGAAGTGACAGAGTTAATAGAATAAATAAGAACATTAAGTTACCTGAAATCTAATCTGTAGCCACAGGTTGCTTCAAGCTGAAACTATGGACACAGACTTCTGCACCTGTGAACTCTAGTATCCTCCCACAGCCGGCCCTGTGTCTCCTCCCTCTTACCTGTCTTCCTAAGGTGTCCCTGCCCTTCAAAGCTTTCAGTGCTAATTGGATGGCCTGGAAATGCTGCAGCAGACTCATGGTCTGACTGGCTGAGCTCGCTGTCACTCTTATGCTGGTCCTGCCTTTTCTCAAGTTTACACTCCCGTTACCTAGGAAATCCCAGTGACTGTGAAAGCCCAAGCTGTTTGTTCTGGAAGAAATGACAGGCGGAAGTTCTGTTGGCAACTGTTCGGGTTCTAACACAGCGTCAAAACTGATCTCCCACGTTTAAAAAGGAAATGTTTGGTAAATTGTCTGACTTGTTTCAGGCCTGCTCCCTTCTGACTCTACAAGACAGAGGCGCTGAACATGAAAGCACAACTTTTAGGAGCTAGCCGAGGTAATTATAGTTAATGCCCTCTTTTTTGTTGTTGTTGTTGTTGTTTTTTGTTTTGTTTTGTTTTTTTACTATCACATACTGAGAAGATACCTTTCCACGTTTTTGTTTTGTGTCGTTTTGTTGGCTTCTTTATTTTAATTCTTTCCTCTGCATGCCAATACCTTTGCCAGAGCAAAAGCAGGCTAGTTAGTTGTTTGCTGTGGATGCATATCTCTAAGCCACATTCCTTGCACTGAGTATCTATGGCATCCGGCCTCCCTCCATATTCCCACCCGCAGGCTCCCTCCATCCTGGAATCAAACAAAGAACTAGGACCAGAACTTCCTAGAAAGACCTCCATTCTACTTTCTGTTATGTATTTTACCTGTGTATTTGCAGCGTAGGATGGTCTTGATTTTTAAGATCATTAAAATAAACAGTATGATTCTAAGATTTGGCATAGACATCAAATGAGAAGACTTATCTTTAAAAATCATCATTAGTTGAGGTGATTTCTGAAGGAATGATATGAGGGGCAAGTAAACAGCCATCTGCTTAAAAACTGCATTCTTTATCTCCTTCTGGGTCAGACGCTGTTTCAGGGGGTCCTTCCAGCAGAACATGGTACTTAACAAGTTAAGAGAAAGTGTAGACACAGCAGGGATTCAGGATGTTTCTCACTTCTATCCCAGGGTAGTCTGGGCATCTTCATGCAAAGAGTAAATTACAAGGACATTTGCAATTATATTTGTCTTTAATGTGAGAATCTAATGACCAAAATAAAACTTTCTCAACTGTTGTTATATTAGTTTTCTTTCCATGTTTTCATAGTTATGAAAATGCTGGTGAGAAGTGCACTCATTTCCGTATAGATTTTATTTTAAGGGAGCAAATATTTTTCATTTTTAATATGTTTTGTAAATAAAATACTAGCACACCTACAAATCTTGTGGCTGTGTGTAATGTGAGTTGTGATATGTAATCCTCATGCACACACAGCAGATGATCCCTCATAGGATTTCCCCATGAATACTTGGTTTCAAGAATAAATAATATATTATGAAGAATGGCCACACATGGTTTGCTGACACTCCTGTCCTGCAATCTTGAAAAAAATAGGACATCCTGTATGTATGACTTCTCTTTGTATCTTCTTACTGAACAGCGTTGGAGTTCATTCTGTATCGTTATAAATCCTTGGTTTATTCTATTTTACATATAACTGTTGCTACAATAAGTAGACAGAGTGCAGATCCTTTTCTTTCCTTATTTTATTTTCTCAGACATAAGGAAATAAATCTATCATATGAATCATATCTAAAATAATTTCTCCCAACCCTTCAATTGCATATGAACTTTAATTTTGATAACTACCAAGATATACAAATTTACATCATTTACATTTTATCATTGTCAGGCAATATTAGTTCATATTGCATTCTAGGAGTGGCTGTTCCTGCCTAACAGGAAGAGTAGAATGGAGCAGGACAGGCATTCTGAACTCTAAAGAGAGATTATAAGATTAAAAAAAAATAGAGGAGTAAGTAGAATTTGTCAACTAATTGGGGTTTTTTATCTCAAATGATATGAGAAATTAGAGTCAGAGAATGGAAGTCACTGAGAGGATGAAACTGTCATAACACTGCCAGTGGCAGAAAGGAGTGAAGAGAAGAAATTTGCTGGGAAAGGAAGGATTGTACTAGAGCAAGAGGATCCAGGTAGTGGAGTCACCAGTCAGTCAATGTACTGTATGAGTGTTAGGAAAGAGGCAGAAAATAGTGAGGACAAC